TCAGTTACCGCCGAGCTTAATCTTCGTCAGAAACGTTTCATTATCTGACCTCAGAGGCCTCGTAAKCCGACTCGTTCCGTGTTCCCATTCACCGAACACAAAGGCGGGAAAAAGCCGAGCTGCCCGGGGAAAAGCCCGGTGCGAGCAGGGTGAGGAAGAAAATAATCATCAGAAAGAACTCCGAGTGTTTTTTGTGTTTGTTAACAAAGCTCTCGTTTGGAACCCAACCCCAACGCCACTCCCTGCTTCCCGGTCATAATGTTTTACAGCGTGAACCGACCTTCGCACAGAGGGTTTAAACTCCGGCACGATTCGTCTTGTTTTCAAAGRAGGCCATTGTGTGGGACAAAAGGAGCTGTCGTTATATTTCACCAGCCTTCAGAAACGAGTCGGTAAACTCACAACGGAGGGCGGCTCAGAAACCGTCCCTGAACTGGTTCAGTTTCTTCATCTCTAAGTGCAAACCCAGATGAGGATCTCATGTGTTTTCAGTCAAAAGAAATGTGGAAACTGTTCCTCCTTCGAGACTCTGAGCTCAAAACAAGCAGCCTCAGTTTTCAGTCGCAGGCCCGGATCCCTCCCTTCTCTCAGGATTGCGTCAGGGTTTGTTGTGGATCCCCTGACAACACGAGCTGCACAACAGCGGGGCGAGAGGTCGCGGGTGTCGAAGATCTTTGCGCCGTCATCCTCTGGTTGCAGCTCGGCGTGGCCCGGGTGCAGAAACAGAACGGATCCGCTCGATTTCTGTGGTTTTTTTCTGAGAAAACTTGGCCTCAAATGAAACCGCTGTGAGTCAGCGACCTCATCGAAACACGCCAGAAAACCCTGACCACGGTCTGATTCAAACAATCAGGAAACTTTCATTCACTGAAACTTACAAACAACAAACGTCTCAACAAACGGACCTGATTATTGAACAAAATGACTCAAAAATAAAATATACCTAAAGTGTAAAACACGCAATAGTTTGCTGAAATTACAAATTGTTAAAAAAAACACTAGCAATAAGTGTAAATTAATATTTTTTAGAGAAAAAATAGAAAAAAACAGCAAGCTATGTTTGCTGTAATATACCTTTACTGCCGCTTATGTCAACTTTAATAGATGTTATCAAAATTAGCAAAACAACTATGTTTTCCAACTCCAAACTGTTGGTTTGTGTAAATGAATGTATTTCATCATAAATGTGAAAAAATTAACGTTAAAGGTTTGGTATGCCAAAACATGTTAATCATTAACTTATTTTATAGATGTTACCATAAGTGCTAACAAGCTAGCTAACGTAGCATGCCTAAATGCTAAATGATGTTAATTTGGTTAAATGTTATCATCCTTTTAAATTTAAAATGGATAGTTAGTGAYAACTGTCAATAATACAAATTCTAAATGATGCGTGTTTGGCTAAATGCTAAATTATTTGTGTTTAACTTGTGTTAACATTTTGAATTTTAGAATGAATAGTTGGGGATAACTGTCCGTATAAATGCTAAGGCGCTAGCTAACTTGAGCTAGCTAACTTTAGCRTACTTACATGCTAAATAATGCATGTTTGGCCAAATTTTTACATTGTAAATTTAGAAGTCAMTAAAATTAATCATTTAGGCTTGTAAGTTTTAGTCTTTGGTTAAATGTTAACAGCTTTTAAATTTAAAATAAATAAAAATTTGCACAGTAATATGTTGATTATAGCCATTTTAAAGGGTCTGTGACATGCTTATCCTTAAAAAAAGTCAAAAAAAAACATATTTATATTTAAGAAAATTAACATAATACACATGATTTTACCCATTTTGTCTCATAACTGGCATATTTTCTCTTGAATTTGGCTCAGCATAGTGAAACAGGAAGTGACATCAAAAGGGAACTCTTTAAAAAAAAGAAATTCTCGTCTTTGTTCTGATTTAAACTCTTCAACTCTAGTGACTCAAAATAATCTAAATCACATCAGATTCTCCTCTAATTATTGTAGTATCACTCTGTTTACATGTAGACACTCCCCTTTGACATCACTTCCTGTTTCTTCACACACAAATATCTCAACAAATGTTCATCCAAACAACGTGAAATTTGTTGTGCGTTCACATTTATTACAAAAATTTTATGTCACAGGCCCTTTAAGACCAGCCTAAAGTGAATTCAGCTCGATTGTTTCTTAATGCTTCGTTTGTTTTCCTCTTACAGAAATGGTTCAAGCAGCGTTACGCTAAGTGGAGGCAGGCTGAAGGTCTTCCTCCTAAACTGGGATCGGTGCTGGACTAATATCTTTTCACCTCCTGGTTCCATGAAGTTCTTTGCTGACCCTTTTGTTGTCCTGYTGGACTGACCCATCCTCCCTGTTCCAACTGTATAGCCCTCTTTTTGTATCTATGAAACTGTYTTGTTGTAAAATGTGAAGGTTTTTGTGTTGTTGYCAAGTTAAACCATGTTTACAGAAGTAAACATATTATTGTAAGTTAAACAGGCTTGTTTGGTTTGTCGCCACCATACATCTGTGGTTCAGACTCACACAGGATGCAGGAGAACACAATCGATGTTTGTGTTGTAGGGGTGGGTCGGTTTTGTTTCCATTGCTTTGTTTGCACGCAGGWCTGTCAGCAGTTGGACCCGTGACTATAAAAGACGTTGGAAAGGATTTCAATAGAATCAGCTGACGCCATCAGGAACCTCTGTGGTTGAATCTGGAATATTCCATCAGAGCACAGAGGGGGAGGAATGACACTGAGGGCTAAAATAAAGACAGGTGATGTCACTTCAAAGCCCTCTCTTCCTCTCTCTCTGAGTGTTGTCAAACGGAAATTATCTCACAGGAGGCAGAACTGTAGGTCACAAGAAAAAAGTCYAAAGTCGTGATAAAGATGCTTGATGTCTAACACTTCTGTCATTTCCTGCTGATTAACGGTCACAAAGATTACATRAAAGTTTTACTAGTTAGTCATAAACTAACTCTCACACAAAATTAAAGATATTCTGAACAGATTTAAATATGAGTTTATTTAAAGTTTTAACCACAGGGGTTTGGTACACTAACAACAAATGTTAGCATGTTAGATTAACAACAAAAAAACAAGCCAATGTTAGCATGTTAGATTAACAATAAAAAACAGGCCAATGTTAGCATGTTAGATTAACAATAAAAAACAGGCCAATGTTAGCATGTTGGATTAACAAAAAAAAACAGGCCAATGTTAGCATGTTAGATTAACAAAAAAAAAAGGCCAATGTTAGCATGTTAGATTAACAAAAAAAACAGGCTAATGTTA